TTTGTAGTCATGTGAGATATTGCACTCATCTTTAATCTTTGGAATTGAAGACAATACCTTAGTAAGCATTAGAATTAATGTACATGACTGTAAGCCTTTACTCTATGGTTCTCCTTTTATCAAAGAAACCTTAAGGTCTGAACAAAATATTATCTTCCCTGGTAATAATTTTGCTATATTAGTATCATATTAATAAGGAAAGCCACATTTGGCTGGCTTAATGTAACACTTTTTTTATATTATCAACAGATGATTGTAACTTCAGTCTACTTTGGTGTCAGAAGACTAAGACACAAGTCAGATATTCAGATGACTAAATACACTGACCTCAGCTCCACCCCACAACAGACATTCAGGCCAAATGAAGACACAGAGATTACTGAGAGGTCCCCACTTCTGCTGGATAAATCGCAGAAAAAAACTCGATTGACATTTGATTCATCATTTTCTTCTTCCCAAGGGGATTTAACTAGAATGTGAACATATGTTTCAGGCCATTAAAATTTGTGAATGCAGCTCAAGTTACTCTCAATTATTTTCACTCATATTTTTTTTACATGATTTACAGCTCCCTATAGACCTGAACAAAACACCAAAGTAAAGTTGTGACCATAAGATATTGAGACTTTTAGATGTGACAAGTGCAATAACAATTTTTTCACAACAATTTATTCCCATCAATTAATGTTCAACTTGAAACAATAGAAGGAGGGGGGCAGTGATGCATCCAATCCTGAATATATATTCTCTACTTCACTTTTTTTCTAGTATGGTCTATTGTCTTGGCAGCCAAAGGTCATACCACTTGGACAAGTTTCATATTGTCTTGGCAGCCAAAGGTCATACCACTTGGACAAGTTTCATATTGTCTTCAAAACATTTGTTATTACTTGAGAAAGAAATGTATTTTTTCAAAGTTAAAGAAACAGAACAAGTTTGTCCTTGTGAAACATGGTGCCATGGGCAATAGTCAAAATTATTCGTTTCCTAAGCTGAAACTCATACAAAGCTGAGAGGACTTAATTTGATCTTCTGTTAATCTCCAGATATATGCAGTCTGATTTGACTTCATTGTTAGTATAGGTACTTGTTGATGGACAGTGAAAAGGCAATGACCTCAACTCTAAGAAAAGCAAGTCAAACAAAAAATGGCTGGTTCATCTATCACGAAAGCAAATATTGCCTTTACCTGCCTTGCAAGTGGATGTGAATATCTCTCCTGAATAGAGCTATACAGTCACATGAAAAAGTACAGCATGAGATGAACCAGAATCATTTTATGACTGAAGGAAGCCAATAAATAAACTATTCAATAAAACATAGCAGTGTATCAAGTTCAGTGTTTTCATGTGTAGGTTTTGTCCTTTCTTTGCCTTAAGTCACAAGATATATTCAACTTCAATTGTAATTGTGAAAATAAATTCTGGCTGCTCACTGCAATTCTAGGACAGGTATTAGAATTCATTACATTTTTTTTAACTTAAATACTAAGAAAATGAAGCCAATATTAAAGTCTTTAAAGACTTTATTTCTCAAAACATTTGATTTCTTGTTTGAACTTACAAAACATATGTCTGTTAACCAAATGTCTATGTACATATGTCTTGTTCTACTGTCAGATATATACAACTGAATAACACATCAAGAGGTTGGATCCTTAACATTAAGATACACACAAATACATGTAATCAACAGCGGATTGGATCTTATAAAGGAAAAACTGGATAGGATCCAAAACAAAGTATAACAAAATTATCCCATAACCACAGCATAAACACCAAGTTAGTTCAGTTTTGATCATCAAATCTTTTATCTAAATTCAGTTGAAGGAAACAAAATTTATATATTCATATAAATAATTAACATAAAAACTGTATAAACTTTTGTTCTTGTGTTTCATTGACTGTATTCTAACTTGTCAGAAAATCAGTTTATTCTTAGATCTTGAAAATATAGTTGTTAAAATAACTAATTTAGCTTGCAATAAAATATTTTAATATGACAAAGCTACTTAAAGTTGGCAACAAAAACTTTCTACTTGCAGGCAAATTTTAAACCTTATTTCTAGTTAGAAGAGATTTTCTATTCCCAATAAATTCTATCAATGATTTACAATTCTGTGATTCTAAGGGAGAGATGAAGCTTAAACTAAAAAGATACTATTTGGCTTGTCTTGTTTGTGTTTTAGATTATTTTTGCAATGATTTATTTAAGCAACCCTTCTTTCTTGCTGCAAAAAGACAACTGTATTGAAAATACTAGCAAGTTAAAATATAAAGCTACAAAAACTGGTTTGATTTTCATATAGGACTAAACTATAGTGTCACAATACAGTTTGACATTATAACAGTAAATGTTTCTCTTGTTCTATAACAAACATTAGTTATGTATAGGCCTACAAGAGATCTGGTTATAAAAAAAAGTTATTTAAAAAAATGAAAGAAAACAATAACAATTCTAATATGCCATCATACTAAATACATATTGTAATCAAATCTAAAAAAAAGTAATAGTAAAATGTATTTGACAGTCAAAATAAACTGAGTACAATTACAAGTCTCTACTGAGTGATAATGTCAGATTACATGGTTAAAGGGAAACTACTGGTCTAAGCAACAAGCCACAACAATGACAAGGGCTTTGTAGGTTGTCTGGCCTATATATACAAACATCTTTTAACAAACCTACAGACAGGTAGAATCAAAACAAAGCATGCCAGCATGCTGTTTACTTGGGGACAAACACTGACAAGATCACTGGCACAGCCATGCTGTAGAGAAATGTACACATTTGATCAATGGTCATTTTTAGAATCACTTCTAGAGGGCCATAAAATGGTCATTTTAAATCAAACCTTAACAATGGTCAAATATAATACTGATTTTTTAGCTAATCAAAATGTAGAATGTTTATGACTTTGTTGGACTACTATTGAGTTGGACTAACTATTGGTGAAGGTCTTGTTGCTATATATAATTAAACATTCATCAAAAGTTACCTTTTGCCAATATTATATACACAAAAGAATTCAATCTTACATGATAATCTAACATCATAATATATCTAAAAAGGTTTATCCAAATCTGTCAGATAGATTAAATTGCTTTAACTAAATGGCTATTAAGGCTACTTTGAGTATTTGAAATGAAACAAAATGAAATTTGTCAAGATAGTGACTCATTTGTTTCAGTGTTAGATAATAGTTTATTCCTAGAAATTAAATTGTGATTCCATCTATATGCTCTGATCTAAACACCAGTTGGGGAAAGTAAAGGCTCAAACCATTAAAGAATGTTTGCCATTAACACAAGGGAATTCTATTTCACCTGCCGAAAGTCTGTGACTTTCAATGGCATCAAGTCTCATTATTTCAATCTGACCCGTATGAAACACCATAGTATTTAAAAACTTGGACTGAAATTAACAGGAGTCACCTCCCAGTGCTAAAACTCCATTGAACTCACAATCAATCCTGGAGATCAATACAAAGCAGCAATTACTCTATTTAGTTCACGTAATACAGATATATAGAAGCTGGAGACCTCTAATAAATAACTAACAATAGAAACAGCCAAAAATAGTACAGCAATAACAATATCTTGTAGTTAATTGTAACCAAGATGCCTAGAAACAAAGTGCAGATAAATGCAGATACATAGAGCTCAAAGTGTAGACATGATTACTTCCCCATGCTATAGCCCTGTGCATGTTAAACACAGTTTCTACAACTACATAACAGCTAAAAAATTCTGGTCATGACAGAAAAACAACAAAAAGGCAATATTATTATTTACAGCATTTCAATATTGTCTTTTCAGTTTGGAAAACTTGATGATAAATGATTGGATTCAATCGGTCGTTCCATATTCAAATTTTAAATCATATTCTTCTATGATTAGTTATGAAAAAAAAAAAAAGAACTATAAGTAAAAAAAAAGTCAGATGTATAAAAGGTGTTCACATAAACGTATGTTCTTTAACTAAAGAATATGTTTCAGTGTAAAAAAATTGAGTTTTTGCTTTTGTTCTTCCAATGGTAGTATTAAAGATAAATGGTCATAAATTGTATAAGAGAAATGACCAAACCATGGCCTGTGAGGTTATGTTGTATTTGAATCGACAATTTTTTTGGTGATGTGGCTCATGACACAAGTTTCAGAATTTATATGCCCTCTCCCCTTCCAAGATCATAAAAAGGTCACCGTTGAATGATGTAAAAAAATGTATAGATGGGAAATAATATTTTGTTGGAAAACTTTTTTTTAATTGATCGTTTAAACAGATTATTGCAGTTTGGGTCTCTTGTTCTTTGAATACTTCTAGATTAGTATAGAAACAAAAGTGAAATTGAAAACTAAATTTTCTTGAATAGACTATAACCATTTTTAAAGACAAAAATAGAATGAGCCCTGGTGCTGAGGCTACATATAGGAATAAGAACAAAAGAATCATTTACAAGCTTACATTTAAACAAGGATCCATTCAATCTGTGGTAGCTCTACATATCTAGAGTTTAGCAGAGTTTTATTCTATTTGATCAAGGCAAAGCATTATTAGGAATATATTGGGTTTAATTTGATTAGTAGGTTGTTGTATTGGTCATAAAACATTTTCATTAATTGGTCATCATAGGTGAACTTAACCTTATCAAAGACAGGAGAAATTTACCTTATCAAAGACAGGAGAAATTTACCTTATCGTAGACAGGAGGAATTTACCTTATTGTAGACAAGAAAAATGTACCTTATCAAAGACAGGAGAAATTTACCTTATCAAAGACAGGAGAAATTTACCTTATCAAAGACAGGAGGAATTTGCCTTATCAAAGACAGGAGAAATTTACCTTATCAAAGACAGGAGAAATTTACCTTATCAAAGGCAGGAGGAATTTGCCTTATCAAAGACAGGAGAAATGTACCTTATCAAAGACAGGAGAAATTTACCTTATCCTAGACAGGAGAAATTTACCTTATCGTAGACAAGAAAAATGTACCTTATCAAAGACAGGAGAAATTTACCTTATCATAGACAAGAAAAATTTACTTTATCAAAGACAGGAAAAATGTACTTTATCAAAGACAAGAAAAATTTAGCACAGACAGGGTAACTTTTCCTTATCATAGACAAGGTAACTTTATCAGACAGGTGGATTTTACCTTATCATAGGTAAACTTCACTTTGTCATAGACAGGAGAACTTTACTTCATACCCATGGAAACTTTTCATTAAAATTTGAGTATTGTGGGGGTAGTTCTCTAGAGAACTTTGGTACATGTAATTGTGACAACTAGAGCCCAAAGCCAATGCAGCACTACTAGGATTCTGACTAAACTAGAGACAGACAGAAAAATAAATATCTGTATGACCAGAGATTTGGAAGAACATTGGGATAGAAAAGTGAAGGAAATCACAGGAACCAATAATACACATCACATAAGACAAACATCACATTTGTTTGTAACCAATACAATTTGAGCTGGATTTTTACTTTGTCCATTTCAATTTCATTTTGTTGGTCTACATAAAATGTGCTAGGACTTGAACATAGAAAAACTTGTTCCTATAAATATGCACAATACGGCATGTAAGAAAAATAAATGAGAAATAGTTTCAATGAAATGAAGAAGCCCTGAGAAAAAAGCAAAGAGAATTAAATTAATAATAGAATGAAATTATTAAGCTTTGATTATCGATTAAATTAATAATAGAATGAAATTATTAAGCTTTGATTATCAATAAAATTAATAATAAAATGAAATTATTAGTCTTTGACTTCATTTCAATGTAAATGTACAAAAATATTTCAGAGCTAAATTTTGTTTTTAATTTATTCCCCCCCAAAAAAACATTTATTAAAAAAAAAACTCCAAGAGATACCATAAAAAAAAAAGCAAGACAATATTTTGTTAACCATGATTAGCAATGGTGCATACAGAATATGTTATAAAAAAATTAAAAGTAGACTAGAAACATTACATAGTGCAAGAAAAGGTTAAACTAATGTCAATAAGCCATTTCCAGATTGAAAATCTCATCAGGCAGGAGTTTCAATTCAGTTCTCTTTTCCTCTACGAAATGTCCCACAAATGTTTGGACCAGAACTATGCTAAGGCGTAAACAAACAAATGTCCTTTCCATGTAGGAATATTTGAATCAATAAACAATGAAAGACATATTATACTTGCGTAGCACATCTCAACACATCAAATTGTTGAGTATTCTACTGACAAATCATTTCACTGAGGAGTATTGAGTCTTAAAGTACAAAAAATGCCTGCCAGTTCGTAATACAAATATATTGGACAATGTATAAATGTTTTGATTTGATGGGAGCTCTCTAAGTGACAATGTACAGCTTTGTATGTTTTTATTTGATGGCAGCTTGCACAGTGACAATCACAACAAACAACTACATAAATGATATGCAATCAGACTTTATAGTGAAAGTGATATTTACAATATTATAGACTAGAAAAGTCTAGTGCTGGCGTGTGTGTAAATTGACCAAATTCTTTCACAGTTTAGAAATGATAGGTCCATTTAAAAATCAAAGAAAAACATATACCAGCTTCATAAATCCAGTGTTTTTAAAATTGGTGGTCCACAAGCCAAACAATTAAGACATCAAAAAAAGAAATTATGAATATTTGACTTTATTTTGTTTTACATGTTTTTGAATTGAAGATTTTCTAATCTTAGCCCAAACCTCCCAAAGGCTGGCAGTGGGGGATGCCGGTGGGCAAGGTTTGAACCAGCAACCATTGAGACAACAGTTCAGAGTGCACATACCATGCGACCAGTCAGCGATTATTGTTCAGTATTATATCTGTCATTTCAACAATGGTCAAATCACAGTCTGATCAATTAAAAGGTCAGCATAAAAAATCTTGCATATATAAATGAAATCTAATTTCCATCCACGTAAATATAACACTACTTTTTTTGATTTCTTTATGTTCTGTTTGTAAAAAGAAAACAAAAAATGTAATTTAAACAAAAAAAAGTAACAACAATAGTTGTTGACAAGTAACAGAAAGTTTTGATATGTTGATGAGTTATATTGGAAGGCTGGAAATTTTAGAAACTGTAGACTAGCTTCTCTTTGTAAGCTTAGAGGAGATTCAGCTTAAGATCAACACCTAACATAGTAGACAATAAACAAAGTTAATAAATGCAATGTTAAAAACATATCTTTGATGCAGAGATCTTCAATGAAATTTTGAACTCCAAGTTAATTTCAAGTTGAATTGGATTCCACAAATCGTATGGTCAAAATTTTAGAAAAACTCATTCAATGGGATCCATAGTAGTAATGTTACTAGCAATTTAGTTGGCTACATCGCCCTCAAAATCTATATTTTCTTATTTCACAAGATGAACTGCATTATGGACAGGAAAAAAACATCAAGTGACAAGCAAATATCAATGCAGATAAAACAGAAATATTTCTTATACAAATATGATCCAATGGAAAGTTTGATATCCCTTTGACTTCACTTGAAAATAAAACAAAACACATCAACAAAGTTTTGAACTGTCACATGATGAACACAAATCTTTCCATTTCCAACTGCCAGGTCATTTCACTTTTTAGATGCTTATAGTTTGCCATACATAATACAGGCTCAGAAAAAAAACAACACAAAACTGTTTTCAATAATTTCTTTGAGTCTGTGAGTATATTCTTTGCTTCGCATGGAATGCCATTTTTGTTTTTAAAAAACCTTGTGCATTTGTATCAATAAGTTTATGAGTAATACAACAATAAGTCCTTGACCTTTTCAATGTCTTCTCTTTTTGTTGTATTACTTCCTGTGTTTCATGAAATAATAAAGTTATCCATCTCCTTTTTAATGAAATATCACTTTGATACATGTCAAAGAATAACTGATACATGCCAACGAATAACTCTGATACATGTCAAAGAGTAACTCTGATACATGTCAAAGAGTAACTCTGATACATGTCAAAGAATAAATATTAATTCAGTTATTTGATCATCCAGCAATATCTTTCTGTGCATATATACAAACTCTCTTCCAGCACACAGTTCTTGTAGTAACAGCCTTAGATACTGACATCATCACAAAATAGACTCTCGTAAAGGAAGGCTCAGAACCTGACCACTAGGGTTCACCCCATGAGAATCAGAAGACAGCCCATTATTATGGCCTGTTTGGCCATTCAGGAAATGGCCATTTAACTGATCTTGGAGATGAGATATAGTTGCTTGATTCTGTTGGTCATCTGACTGGTTTCCATGTTTAACAAGTGTAGATGGAGATTTGATTGGCAGAACTGATGGTCTTGGAGTACTCCTGCCTTGCGAATCTAAACTGCTACTTTTATCACCTAAGGATGTTACACCAGTACGGGCATCATGAGGCTGGAAAAAAAACAACAGAATATTACAATGATAATCATAATCTTTCAAATGAAACTCATAAAAAGCTTAATAAAATCCTTAATTTACTTAGACCTTTCTTCACAAAATCATAAACATAAGGCTTTATACAAAATATACACAAAAACACACACACAAAAAAAACAACTAACTTTAATGAAATTACAAAAAAATTTTTTTTTTTTTTTCAATGTTAACATTTTTAAAAATGTGTATTTTCATGTATACATTTGCATCCATTGTCTTCTGAGACAGAAGAAGCCATGTACAAGTTTTTTTTATTTGTGACAAATTAGAATTTTTTTATTCACAAATATATTTTTTTTATTAAATTAAATCTACTTATTTTTTTTAAAGTGCAAATACTTCAAACATAGTTTATTACTATCAAACTAATTGTTAAAACTACATTCAATATTATTATTTGAAGCACCTATTTAAAATTTGGTACTCGTTCTGAGCATACTAAAGATTTATTTTTATCTTACAAGATACAACATTTAGAATTAGTCAAAACAGTAGTTCTTTTTCCATAAAACAAACTTAAAAATTTATCAGTCTGAGAGCTTAAACTTAAAATCTATGAACAAAATTCTTATAGCTAATCTTCATTAACTCATATAAATTCCCTGATAATTATGCAAGCCTAAGGTATCCATTTTTTCTTAGTCAGAATGAGAACCAGTAAGTTATAACAATGGTGTTTCAGAGTCTGTCAACTTCCAAGCCCAATCAATGTCCTTGCATCAGGTGGAAACAGACAGTAATGATGGAGGTCAACATATTTATTTGTATAAACTCACCACATTGTTAGCAGCTGTTTCTGCCAGTGTCCGTCGCCGAATGAAATACCAGACTCCCACAAAAAAACACATGGAAATAACTTTAAGCCCTGCGGCTATACCTGTCAACAAAACAAAATAGGAAACCAGACAGTGTTAATCTTAATATAATGTATGTACTCATAGCTTTGACATTAAAATGTTTCTTAGACTCTTGTATATACCTTAAAAGAATTTTGTTTTCATAATAATAATTGTAATATGTTACTGATTGGGAGAATGACAATACAATTCTAGGTCACAAAACCAAAACAGATTTAAATCTTATCTTACAAAATACAGACGTTTCTTCAAAACAGATGAAGATTATGTATTAGGTCAATCTAGTCATGCATGTTAATCAATGACAATACTCTGCCAAGTTGTTGGTTTTCATGGCTGATTTAGCAACCTATTTCAACGTCTAATAGCACTAGGGAAGAAGAAGTTTTATTACAACTTTGTCCTAGCATATGGAACTATTTACTTCTGTCACTATATAATCTTCTGTAGAACTACATGGCTAGGTGATATATTAATGGTTTGACAATGACTGCATGCACTAACTACGTTCACAATGCATTATTTAGAGAGGAGTATCTTCTACAAGTTTTCTAAGCAACCTCTAGGAAGATAGATCAGTTTGACTTTAGTTCCAAATGAAAAACTGCGTTTTATAACTCACCCCACTGTACCATGCTTAAATTAAATATGTATTTACATACGTTTAGAGAATGAAACATGAGTATAAATAAATTCTTACCAACATAGTGATATCTGAACCTAACTATGTCATACAGAAGGCAGGACCCATTCCCTTTACATTTGACACTCCAAAGTATACAAGCTGTGTCTATAGCATTACCAAAAAATATAGGGCTTGGTATGTAGGCTGCAAAGAAATAGTACAAAATGTAAAATTATATAAAAACTTAAATTGTTAAATATTTCATTTGGTCACTTCAACATTTAATATAAGTAAATCATTTCAATTACTTCAAGATTAAGTTCATTGCCAATATTAATTATGTGTTTGAATTAAGAAGCTAATAGCTTTATCAATCAGCCACCAGACCCCCATTATCTAAATACTTGACTAGTTTATCATTTAGTTTTTAAAGATAATTTTTATGTTCTACAGATCTTTAATGTTTGGTTAAGATTATTGTGCTTAAAGATTTTTACTCATAGGTTTTCTATTGCTGATCAAGAAACTTAGTATTATGGTATTATAAGTTATATGGAATAGATAAGTATTTTATTAGCCTATGTTTCTGTGTTTGAAAGTTTAGTGTTGATTATAGCTAATGTACTTCCTGAGCCTGTTAGTGTCAGATGTGTTACTTTTAACAAGTGTGAATATTCCCAGCGCTTTAATTTTTTTTTTTACTTCAAGAATTTCACAATGTTCTTTTTGGTCCTTGGACAAATATCATTTTAATTCATAATTAGATTTGTGGGATTTTCTGCAATGTCTAATTAGATATCCAGGGGACTAGAGATTTTCCAAGTCATTATGTAAGCAAACAAACT